GCGCGCGCACGTCACCGCACGCACGCACGCACGCACGCACCGCACGCACGCACGCACGCACCACGCGGCGCGCGCACGCGCGCACACACGCACACACCACATGCACACACAAACGCCCGCACACACCCACACACCACACACACACCCACACGACCCACACACAAACCCACGCACACCCACGCACAACCCCGCGCACACCCACGCCACCCACGCCCACCCACGCCCACCACACCCACCCAAACCCACCCGCGCCAACCCACCCACCCACAACCCCACACACCCACAAACACCACAAACCCACACACCCACTACGCGCACGCACACGCACGCGCACACGCACGCGCACGCGCACACGCATACGAACACGCACACGCGCGCGCACGCGCACACGCACACGCACGCGCGCGCGCACGCGCACACGCACACGCACACGCACACGCACACGCACACGCACACGCACACGCACGCGCACACGCACGCGCACACGCACGCGCACACGCGCACGCACACGCACACGCACACGCACACGCACACGCACACGCGCACGCGCACGCGCACGCGCGCACGCGCACACGCGCGCGCACGCGCGCACCCACGCACACACACACACGCGCTCTCTGTCTTTCTCTCTCTCTCTCTCTCTCTCGCTCTCTCTCTTTCTCTCCTTATCTCTTTCTTGTTTTCTCTTCCTCTCTTTATCTCTTTCTTTCTTTCTCGCTTTCTATATTTTTTCTTTTTCTCCCGGCCATCCTGTGGTGTTGGGTCTCCGTTTTGAAGAAACGGTCACCGCGTTCTCCCCGTCCCCCTCTGCCCCCCCCTCCTGGCTGCCGCCCGCATGCGTCGCGCGCGCGCCCAATTCGGCACACCCCTCGCGCGTTCCGTGGCCCCGTAGGGAGCTCCGCCGAAGGCCCCAGTGCTGCCGCCCGCATGCGTCGCGCGCACCCAATTCGGCACACCCTTCGCACGTTTCGTGGCCCCATAGGGAGCTCCACCGAAGGCCCCAGTGCTGCCGCCCGCATGCGTCACGCGCACCCAATTCGGCACGCCCCTCACACGTTTCGTGGCACCATAGGGAGCTCCACCGAAGGCCCCAATGCTGCCGCCCGCATGCGTCACGCACACCCAATTCGGCACACCCTTCACACGTTTCGTGGCCCCATAGGGAGCTCAGCCGACGGCCCCAACGCTGCCGCCCGCATGCGTCACGCACGCCCCATTCGGCACACTCCTCACACGTTTTGTGGCCCCATAGGGAGCTCCGCCGAAGGCCCCAGTGCTGCCGCCCGCATGCGTCGCGCACACCCAATTCGGCACACCCCTCACACGTTTCGTGGCCCCACTGGGAGCTCCACCGAAGGCCCCCGTGCTGCCGCCCGCACGCGCCACGCGCGCCCAATTCGGCACACCCCGCACACGTTTCGTGGCCCCATAGGAACCTCCGCCGAAGGCACCAGTGCTGCCGCCCGCATGCGTCACGCACACCCAATTCGGCACACCCCTCGCACGTTTCGTGGCCCCAGAAGGGGCTCCGCCGAAGGCCCCAGTGCTGCCGCCCGCATGCGTCACGCGCACCCAATTCGGCACGCCCCT